ATACTCAGCTTGAGTTTTCAATTTTTTTCTATGCACTGTATAGACATATTTCTTTAGCCAATCATATTATACTTTTATCCATAATATTTAACCATTCGCCTATAAATATTTAAGATATTTACAATTACTTTATATAACTAATGATACATGGGTTATTTCTGATGAACAGATTCTCAGAAATGGAATTGCTAGGTCAAAGTATATTTTCACTTCCTCAGTATTTTTTATTTTTGTCATTTGGACCCATGAGAATGTATATTTTCAACATTTGTCTCTTCTTGACTTTATTTTACTTGTGTATAACCAATTGTCCCAGGAATCTCAATATCTGGTAAAGCAAGTCCAAATTCTTGTTTTTTCAAAATTATTCTTGGCCCTTTGTTCTTCTATGTAAATATTTCCAGCAACTTGCTCAAATTTCGTATTAATGCTAATAATTTACCTGTAGGTTCTCTTTGATTCTGCACAATCATATAGTTTTCATCAACAATTTTTTTCTTCCTTTGCAAACATTCTATTTTTCCTTTCTCTTCCTTCCTCCCTCCATCTGCCTCTCTCTTTAACTGTGTAACAAAGACCAGCCACAAAATGTTGAATACCAAATAGTAATAATGAGCATCCTTGTCCATTCCTAATCTTGAAATTAATGTGTCTAACATTCTACCCCAAGTATGTTTGTGGCAGTAAGTTTTGCAAATGATTATAGTTATAAACAGAACAGAAACATTATTATTGTTTATATGTGTCTAAAATCATGAATTTTAGCACCAAAAATGAGGGAGTAGATTTTTAGTATAAAGTGAAAGTGCAAATTTCATTTTATATAGGAGACAGTCTGTAGTAACTCATTCCTGAAGTTATTCATTCAAGAAATATTTAAATATCTTTGAAATATTTAAAGCTAAAGAGAAACAGTCCGTATACATTACAAATCAAAAGACCCCAAAGTACAAATTTTAAAAAAGAGAAAATGAAAATTAGTTTAGCAAAAGATTACAAGAAAGCCAAAAGCGTTACATTAAAAAAAATTTTAAAGGGAAGCATACAGTATAAAATAAACTGACAGAAGCCCACGTAATTATGGTATATTGAAATTGGTCTTAGCAGAATTCAAAATGTTAAAAGAAACTTCAATAAATGGAAAAAAGAATAAGCAGTTATGAGCTGGTATATGCTGACTATAGCACTGAACATATAAAGCAAAACACAGAGAGTGCCCCTCAAAAATGTATACAATTTAGGGGCCGGCCGAGTGGCTCAGTTGGTTAAGAGCTCACTCAAGAGTTTGAGCTCTTAGCAACAGCGGTTCGATTGCCGGCCCGAGTTGAGCAGCCACTAAGCTGCCAACAGGTGGCAGGATGGCTCAACTTAAAAAAAAAAAAAGTATACAATTTTAAGAAAGGAAAACTGTATTAAAATTGTAATACTCAATATATATCAATAACAAAAGATGAATACAAGTCACATTTGACTTCTGCAATTACAAGAGGTGCTCAGAGTGGTTACCATCAGCGTCCCGACACTTCTGATTATGGTGAACTACTGCTTGAGCATCACCGACCAAAGTGTCCACTTGTATACATTTTTTTTGGCAACCCCAAATATATATGAAAATACACAAAGCAGTTTAAGAATTTAATTTACATGTCTCACTCCTTGAGAGATATATAGAGAATTTCATCAGTGTTTAATTAATATAATTAATAATATTGATTTAATGGTTATATGAAAATTGTACCAAAGGGCATATCCATCCTAGCATCCGAGAAAATTTACAAAAGTTGTTTGATTAGCAATCTAAAAAGAAATCCTTAATACATTCCCAAAGCAAACTACATGTAATAGAAATTATGTTATTAACAAAAACTAAACTAAAAATTAAAATAAAACTAACCACTTGGAAGTAGAAACACACTATCCTAAATAATTTTTGGGTCAAACAAGCAATCAAATTTGCAGCCACCAAATATTTAGAAAACAATAATGAAATTAAATACAACATTCCTAACCTACAAGATGGATTCAAAGAAATAATCAGAGAATTCATAACACTGAAATGGTATCTTTTAGAATTGGAAGAAAAATAAATGGACTAATTATTGAACTCAAGAGGTAGGAATAAAGGAAGTAGAAGGAAGGAATCAAAGCCAAAATGCTGAAATTAAAAATAAATGATAGATTATTACTCCCCGGTGGTGAGAAAGTAGATGGAGGTAGAAAGGGGCAAATCGTAGTTGTCTAGTCATGGAGAATAGAAAAGAAACAAAAAAGATATTTAATAATAGATTATGTATGTATTTAAAACACTGAAAGTATTAAAGGGCACCTATATGCTAAAAACATTTTAAATACAAGATAGGCTGTATGACGAATTTCCAGAAAAAGGAAAATTACCAAGATTTAGTCAAGAAATATAACCTTGAACAGAGTAAGAACAAGAGGAAATAGAAAAATTGTGAAAGAATTACCTTCAAGAATCAGGTGGATCTGCATATAAATAAAACAGCATCACTTCAGTAAAAATAATTCGTAGGATGTATAAACTATTTTAAAGCAAATAAAACGAGATAGTTTTCCACTTTATTCTGAAAAGCTATCAAAACGAGACATCTCTGATGAATAAACATAAATACAAAATCCTAAATACAGGGTTCGTCAATAGAATACAGCAGGATTTTTAACAAAAAGCTCAACTTAGATTCTACTAATGTAACTGGTGTCTACCATCAGCAGATCAAAGGGGAAAATCCACAGTGGTAAACAGTGAAAAGCATCTGAAAAAAAATTTTTACATCTGATCCTAATAAATGTACTTCTTAAAGCTTTTTCTTAACATAATATTCTATTTCTAATCTATAGTTTGTTATACATGAAACACTAAAAATTCATAAAATCAAAAAGAATTCCTATTATCATAACCAACTGAAAACTATTAAAATAGAAATGTGGCCATTTTTTAAAATCACATAACAGCTTTCCTATATAAGCAGTGACATTTAAAATATTACAATATTTATAATCATGTAAAGAGTCCATTTCTAAAAGCAACAAAAATATTTTTAGAAGCTTTTAAAAACCCAACATACCAGAACTATAGTAATTTTGAAGTTTTAATGAGGGACACACACACACACACACACACACACACACAAACTTCTATTTGGTTGTCGGAAAAGTCATGATGCATGTTTGCAACAGATAGCACTAGTTCATTTTTGGAAGTACTAGAGTCATGCGCATCTATGTTATTGCTATGTCACTTGACAGCTGACAGTTCTAGCTTCATTCTAAAAAAAATTAAGCGATTTGGTTGAGTTTTGGAGATTTTACAAGTTGAAGATGGAAAACCAAACTGTACATTTTTGCCATATTTTACTGTTTTACTTCCATAAAGGGAAGAACGCGTGTTAAGCTTGTGAAAAGTTGCATAAAGTTTACAGTGACAATTCTCTACAAGAACATCAGTGCCAACTATGGTTCACGAAATTCCATGCTGGTGATTTTGATCTCAATGATGCTCCTTGGTCAGGGAGGCCCACTGAAGTTGATGACGACAAAACAAAGGTATTGATCGAGTCAAACCTACATTACATGAGAGATTGCAGAAACATTGAAAATCCATCATTCAAGCGTTCATGACCATCTGAAGCTGGGATACGTAAGCAAGCTTAATATTTGGGTTCCGCATGAACACAAACAAGTTCATTTAATGGTGTGTATAAATATGTGCAATATATACTAGTTAAATTGTGAGGAAAATGATCCTTTTTGAAGCAACTGATAACTGCTGATGAGAAGTGGATTATTTACAACAATGTGGTGCACAAACGGTCTTGGTCCCGACGTAATGATTCGCCTCAAATGACATTGAAAGCAGACATTCATCAGAGGAAGGTTATGCTCTCGGTGTGGTGGGATTTTAAAGGTGTTTTTTTTTGAGCTCCTACCAAGGAACCAATCAATCAATTCGAATGTGTACTGTGAGCAATTGGACAGTTTGAACGAATCCATCATCCAGAAACATCCAGAGCTTGTTAATTGTAAAGGAGTTGTGTTCCATTGCAACAACATAAGACCACACACGTTTGATCACCTGTAAAAATTACTGGAGCTTGGATGGGATATGTTGCCACACCCACCATACTCACCTGACCTTGTGCGGTCAGACTTCCACTTGTTTCGCTCTCTTCAAAACTCCTTACATGGTTAACATTCAATTCAGATGAGGCTGTAAATCACCACCTTGTTCAATTTTTCGCAAATAAAGACAGGTCCTTCTATGAACAAGGAATTATGAAGCTCACTGAAAGATGGCAAAAGGTTATCGAACAAAATGGACAATATATCATTGATCTATCTTTGCTCTTTATATAAATAAATGACCTTTGAAAAACAGACAAAATGCGTCATGACTTTTCGACAAACCAATACTATGCTTTCAATGTAGACACCCTCCCCCTCTGCCCCAACTAAATTTAAACACTTAATATATTCCCAGCTAAAATCCTAACAGGATACTTGGGGAAAGTGATCAGAATGATTCTGAAAGTCACATGGAAAAATAAACAGGCAGTAGAAAACTTTGGCAAAGGGATATTTAAGTTTCATCTTAAATATTTTCTGCTGTATGTCACCTTGTTCTAGGAATTGAAAACTGATTTTAAAAGACTACAATGACAGGTGCATAGTTTATAAAGTATGGTACTTACTTATAACTAGAAAAGAAAGATCAGGAGTGGAAAATAATTGAAAGCCCAAAAATGCACCCAAATAAGACAGATGGTATTTTTTTTTTAAGATTTTTATTAGGGTATTAGGGGGATGGGAACAGTGCTGGGGAATTGGGGGAAGGGGGACAGATGATACTTTAAAACTAGGGATTGAGTGAACCGTTGAACAAATGCTGTTGGCCTAATTAGTATAGCCATTCAGAAAAGGTGTGAATTTGGACATTACCCTCACAACATCTAAAAAACAAATTCTAGAATGGCTTTGAATTAAGAGTAAAAGTAGAAAGCTAGAGAAGTAAAATAAAATTTGTGTGGAAATTAAAATAATCTTGAAGTACTGTTAGGTTTTTCTATGCAGACACCATAAGGAAAGATTAATAGACTTGACTATATATAATTATTAAATTTTTCTGAATAAACATATCTCAGTATTTTCAAGATTAATAGTTTAAAAAGGGCTACTTTCCTTATATAAGCTGCTCAACAGAGATAAACACCTAATAATTAAACATATGAATAGTTAATAAACAAGACACCTGGCTAATATGAAATAATGAATTTCACTAGTAATCAAAGAAATATGAATTAAAACAAGATGACTTGTCAGACTGGCAAAAATTGAAGAATTTTAAATATGCAACATAGCTAAATGCAAACAGGAAGTAATAGGAATATAAAACTAGCATACTTTCCTTGAGGGCAATTTGAATGCAGCAAAAAGTTAAAAGTGCATTCTGTAGACCAGTAATTCCAAGGAAATTACGTATGCTTGTAAGTATATATGTATTATGTGGATTTTCATCAATTATTATTTAAAACAGAAAATTAGAAATATTTTGTGTCCAACAAGGAATTGTTAAATTATGGTTCTATATGGAATAATTGAAAAAAGCATAGAATTATTGACATAGAAGAATGTTCACAATGTATTAAATGAGAATAACTAATTACAAAGTTATTGGCAATATAATCTCATCGTTTTAAGGGAAAAAAGTAGATACGCATTCACATACATCCCTCAAAGGCAAAATATTAGTGGTGGTTAGCTTTGTATGTGCTCCTATGTTTTCAAATATGTACAAGTATAAAAAGGAAAAAATAAGGGCTAGTATTGTCAATAAAATATACCACAGTGGCTATCAAGTGGTCATCTTTATCAGATAAGATTATCCTAAGTCTGTTCTGCCGATAAGCAAGAACACAAGGCTAAAAATGGCCTGGAATTCTTAATGGCAGTTAATTTATAGACTATCAAATACAGCCTTTAAAAAAAAACACAAGGCTTATATTAAACACATTAGGTTTAAGAGTCACTAAAAGTTCTTGCAGAAAAAGAACACCTTTACAACAAATTAACTTAATTGTGAAAAAAATATTTTTAAAGGGTAATTCCCCTACACAGCTTCATTTTGAGTGCAATTCGAACCAGAAAATTCTTTAATGGGACATTTGATATGGTGAAAGGAATAAGACCCACAAAACTTATTAGTCTACATAATTCAAAGGTCAAGTTTTACCATTATCATCAAAATTTTATTTTCCCCATCTTCAACTGGATCCCTCAATAGCTTCATTTGTTAATAGCTTTTATTTTTAATTAAATTAGAAACATTCAAGAAATTATCTGGAGAGGCCTCTGGACCATGACAAATCATTGCTCCCCTTACAAAACAACTTAATTATAAAATCTTGAAAGAATATAAAAGTAATGTTTGCAGGCCTGCCAATATCAATCTTCCTCCTACAAACAGAAAACACTTTAATGAAAGATTCAGTCTTATCTAATTGTTGGATATTTATGTTACTAGTGTCTTCAAAAAAAAAAGGAACCTCCTTTCAAAAGACTATTTATATATGACAGTCTCTATAGGCTCCTAATTAAATAAGTTTTCTAAATTATTTTCCTATTTTTTCTGAATTAAGTTGACTTTTTAAAGCCATCTGTGTTAAACTAGTTGTTCACTATTCTAAATTATTTTATTTTACTATAACACTGGTAAGTATTTTTAGTGCATTTTCTTACTGAAAAGTTAAGTATTTACTACAGAATTTAGACATGGCTTAGAGGAACAAGCACTGGCAATACATCTAAGTCTCATTTTTCTTAACTGTAAAGTGAGGAGATGGACCAGATGCTTTTATATTATTGGGGCGTCCTGTTGAGACTTTTAAAATATCAAAACCAGTATGCCAGGGAATCAATAGATCTTTATTCAAAAAAACAAACAAACAAAAAAAGGACCTAGGGTGAAAAGTGGATTAAGCTCATAACAAATACAGCAGCAAATCTTTATCTCAGAAGTACCAGTTAGATTAGTTGGAAGCATTTAACTCATTTACCTTCCATTTTTTCTCAAGAAATCTTGATATTTCCTACAAATTGGCTTATTGCAAATGGGATTCATGCAACTTAAATTTTTTTTCATCACTGAGTTTTCAATTGTTCTATTTCTTTCTAGAACCTTCTGTTCATATATGACTTTAAAATTTTACAGACATTCACATTTTCATTTCTTACATTCACTTAAGTGTAAATACAGCTGAGAGTAGCAACCACTAGCTTCTCCACTTTTAAAATCTTCCTGCTCAGTCAGTCCACTAGAAGTGTGACTTAATGCCTTTCAGGTTTAGTGATACGTACTCATACTGGAATCGTACCTGACACTTAGGTAGGCACTGGATATATATTTACTGACAGAATGAAGTTCTGAACCACAGCTAAAGCTTTATATTAATTCACATTCCACAAACTATTTTAATCAATAAACCCCTTAAAATGAGTCATTTAAAATTACACGGGCGACTGCACCTTTCCAACAAATAATGAAGACGGGAAACAATGAATTGCATGCAGAAAAACTTGCTGTGTCAGAAAATACAAAGGGGAATTTCACATGAGAGACAAATATTTCCTTCTTTGGCATTTCAATTTCATTTTCATCATCTTATTTGCAGCCTGATTTACCTGTTTCTGTCCAAAAAACTTAAGCAATGACTTTATGTTACTTAGATTTCACTCAAAAATACTCAGTGATTACTACAATTATTATAACCTATAGAATTAGCAATTTCCCAATTCCACTACTCTTTTTATTAATCCAAATTCACTAAAATATTAAATGATATGGAAGGATGCATTAAGATTTTCACTACCATATTTCATCAATTTTAAGACACTTTCTTTCACTTGATAAATTTGGGAAATATCTTAAAAATGATGCAAGTTATTTAGAATTGTGTTGTGGTTTAATTAGCAACATTTTTCTAAGTGGTGTATAAATATCGGTATGTTTCTCAATCAGTGCTGTGTTAGGGTAATATTAGAAGTTGCAGTTCAAACTTTCAATTTCAAGCAACAACTTCCTTGTCCTCCCAGCCACTTTTGTAACATAGATACATGACTAGAATGTTTAATTAGAAAAAGTATTCAAACACAGTTCAATTTTATATAAAATATTTAATTTTTAAAACACAGGCTATTCATGTCACATAAATATCTTCAATTTTATGTTAGCTGCTATGGTCAGCAGAATTAACAAGTGTGACTACTAAGAATAACTTAGATACTGTCACTTATAGGAAAGTCTAAAGTTCTAAGACTCACCATATTAAAATTTCAGATACTTGAATACTGTAGCTATTTTGCTAAATTTCAAAATATCTCTTCACTTCCTGCAATGTAGCTTCATTATAAGTAGTTAGTACTTAATATTCAAATAAAAGCAAAATAAATTTTTCTTCCATTCATTTCTCCCCAACAAAAAAATTCCATCAAAAAATAAAACGGGCAACAGACATAATTTTATAGCAGTAAAATGGTAAATTATCTACTTTAAAATAGTCTTACTCTCACCAAACTAGAATGCTTCCCATATACTGTTTTAAATGAAGGTTCACAAGTCAGAGAGAGGGCACAGGGTTAAAAGACTGACTTTAGAGCTAGAGCGATTGCCATTCTTTAACAGCTGTTTCAATTTAAGATTCCAATAAAAAAATAAGTTACCAAGAGGACAGTCAAAACAAAATGGTTAATTGGCACAACTCTCATTTTCAGAATCTATTTTTCCATTTAGTGATATGGAAACATTGGTTATTTACCTTTGGTTCCTTTCTAGAATTATTATGTGTGCGCGCATGGGCACACAAAGTTAGTTAAACTTGACACCATTAGTTTAAATGAGGATTTGCCCATCATTCTTTGCTGCTTTTAATAAAAGAAAAAAAATGTTAAACTAAAGTTGCTCTAAGTCTGGCAAAAGAAGTCCTAATACACCTCACAAAATCTAGGCAATGTTTCTAGTCAACAAGTGAACAGAGTTAATTTTTTCTTAAAATGGCAATTGTGTAACTTCAGATATGGTGTTTGCCACCTTTCCCCACAAACTTTAATAGAATTATGCAAATTCTGTTACTATGCTTTGCTTCTATGCTCCTGCCTTCCAATTATCCAAGGCAAAAGGAAACAGGAACAATATAGCAGCCCAAAAGGAAATGATACAATTCTCATTTAGTTATTACTTTCAACCATTTAAATGACAAAACTTTTCAGAATTTCTCAGAAGTAACAAAAGGTACTGATTGGAGTTCTAGTCCCCTATCAAGAAAAGGTGGAGTGCAAAGTCACACAGCCCAAAGACAGGCAGAAAAGGAGAACATGTGATGGGCAGAAAGAATGGATCTAGCAGGAACTGAACAGGCAGACCCTAAACACCCAAGACCTCCCTGCCTCTTCAATACAAGGTACTGATTCCCTTGAGAAGACAAATGGGTGTAAAGGGTAACTACTTTTTCAGACTTTAAGCTTACCTGTTAAGGCACTTACTTACCCTTCCCACCCCACCCATATTTCTCATATAAAACCCACTATTTTATTCGAATGCATTTTGCTAGGTTATGATAATCTGCAAAATAAAACAAAAATAACATTGACCATTTTTTTTTATAAAACTGTTGCATCAAGAGAAAGGTTGTGTTTTATTTTCTGAAATGAGCACAAAGTACACCTTTCACAATAACACTGAAAGCAGGTGCAAAGACTGACAGTGACCTTTGACTAAAGATAGCTTTGTAAAAAGAAAAATACCAAATAAATCAGTGCCCTTTCTGATTGTTGTAAAACTGGAGGGGGAGGGAGGGGTTGGTTGGTTGTTACATAAAAGTTGGTCCAAACTTACAAAAAAAGCACAAATGTGCATAGTTCAGAAGATCTGCAAGAGGGCCATAAAAGACTTTTATGTCCCTAAGATTAGCATCCACTTAAAACTGCAAGAATACAAAATAAAATTGTTAACTAGAATTTGTGAAGATGTACAATTGATAGATCTAGTTTTTTAGAACAGCATGAATTTAAGCAAAGGTGGTGGTTTTTTTTGGTCTTTTTTAAAACTATTGTATGCAAGACCCTTTCCACATAAAAATAAAGCTGTTGTTGAATTAATATTATTCAAGTCTCTTGGATTGCTGCCTTAAATTGCAGCTAGAAAAGTCTTTCCAGGTAAAAACGATGTGCCTGAGGAAAAACAGATACTCAGTACGGTAGCCCTCTGCCACGACCTCTGCTGGCTGACGTGCTAATGTGCCCCCTAAATCCTTGTGAATACCCAGGCCCTTGGGCAGGAGAAGTCCAGGTCTGTCCATGCATGAGGCTGGGGCCACCGGGGTTTTCCTGTAAGTTACCACTGTAGCTATAGTTGTGCATCTTGGCCGGCAAAGGGTGAGTACTCTCAGGGCCTGTGGAAGGGTCGCTGCTATTCGCCAGGACCGCGATGGGGCCGTGGCTGTACTCGAATCTATGGTCCTTGTCTCCACTGAACAACATGGGACCAGTATTGAGGTAAATGTCTCCATACCCAGCTACGGAACTGGGAAACGACTCGGCAAAGGCAGAAGGCTGAGGTGGGCCACCAGAATGAGATGAAGTAGTACTGTAGTTATCCAAAGACTGAATATCTGAGTTGCCAATGAAGCTCCGTCGTTCTAATTGGGGGGCAGAGCTACCCCCCAGCCCATCGCTGCTAACATACGGAGCAGAAGAGAAAGAAGACGATCCAAAATTGTCCTTGTAGTCTGAGGTGGGCACATAAGTGTCTCCCGCCTGGTAATCAATACCCCCTTCTCTTTTGGGATCATCCTGGGGCTGATGCTGGGCGAGCAGCTGTAGGAGGGCTGCTTTCACCCCGGCATGCGGGTCTGCTAGCGAAGAGCTAGTGGTGGGGACATGCTGGTTTTCTGTCCGATAATCCAGGTCGTCCTCGGTGACTGGTGGTGGCTCAGGCGGTTCGGGAGGTCGCTGATCAGGAGGCAGAATACGAGGCCGCTCTGGTTCTGGTGTGAGCTCCAGCATCCTCCTGTCCTGCTGCTGGATGAGGTCATCTTGCCCTAAGTGAAACAAAGTGAAATGGAGAGTCAAACCTGGAGAATTAAATGTTCAATATAGCTCGTATTTCCTACGGGCGGTCCTAAAAAGCACCAGAAGTTCCATCTCTGTACCCCACCAACCCCCGCTCCCCCACCCCCCAAAAAAAAACAAAGAAAAAAAGAAAAATTAAATGGAAAGGAAAAAGGCATACAAGGACTAATACTGCCTGCTACCACTGAAGTCTATGGTGACAAAAACTATTTCATAAGCTATTTCATATATGCCTCTTTACTGCTTGAACAAAAGCTACTGTGCACATAAAGTTTCTGCCTTGGTCAGTCATCCTGCGCTACTTGGAGTAAACGATGATTTATTAACCTTAGGTCTACACAAGAGAAGAACCTATGGTATTCATAACGAGTCATATCGCATATGAATCATTTGCCATAGCATCAATTCCTAGGAGTAAACAGACTACAAAACCACCCTAAGACCAGTGACATCTGCAAAGCACTGAACAGTACACACTGATGGTCGCCCACAGCAGGTCCACGGTGGGACGAGCCAAGTCGGCGCTCTGCAATCGGCACACTTACCCGATACCGGCGTGCTGGGTTCTGGAGGTGGCCGCAGCTGTAATGCTGCTTCATGTCCCGATCCATTCTCCCTCTCTTCTAACGGTACGTCCTTCTGCTTTGACTGCTGAGCCTTTATTAACTGAGTCAGCAGAACTGCAAATGCGCTCTGCACAGCTGCCTGGGCAGCGTCCGTCTCCACTTTAGGCGGCACACTCTGAGAAGAAGGCTGAATTCCCCCCAGCGGTTTCGAAGACTCCTGCTGTGGTGTTGGTGTTGATGGATCTGTCTGTTTTTCACCTGTTGCCAAAATTCCAGCAGGAAGGTTTATTTTATTTAGCTGCTGTTGAGCCTCAGAGTTTACCTGAATGTTCAACACTTGGACAAAATCAGCCATATTAACACTCGTTTTAGACTGTAGTAGGTTTAGTAGAATTGCCAATTCACTGTGGTTTAACTGCTGTCCAGGGCCTGTTTTTACTAAAGACAAAATTTGTATTAATTAGAATTGCCATAACTCACATCTCCTCCCACCCCAAAATATCTCTGTATTACCATATGAAAATGTACATCTGTAGGACAGTATTTAAGAAACACTGTAAAAAAGGAATCTCAGTTCAATTTCAAGATTTAACTGCATATAAATTTAAACAACAAAAGAACGAACTGTGGTCCATTTTGAATAAATTATCTTTGGGGGCAAATACTTCAAAAGGAAAATCAAGACTACCACTACTATGGATATAACCAGGAAATACCACCTGTGAATGCAAACGGAATAATGATAATGATGGATATTATGTCAGGGGCTTTCTAAGCAGCTTATAGCCTTTATTACTCACAACCACCTTTTAAGGCATGCTCTCTTGTTAGCCACAGTTTTTCTTTTACTGAAGAAGAAATTGACATCCAGAGAGACCAAATAACTTGCCCAAGGTCACAAACTCTTCAAGTAGCAGAGTTGAGGTTTGAACCCAGTATTCTGATTCCAGAGTCTGAGCTCTTAACTACTCACTGTACTGCTTATTTAAAATAATGCTTATTATCTAAGAACCTAACTTTATACTTGCAGTTAAATTCATGGATGTGGTACACTCTTTGATAAAGTGTGTTTCATTCAAATTAATTTTTTTTTCATTTTAAGTCCCCGTGGGTAAGTTACGGACGCCTACAGAAACATGCTTTTAATGTACATATAAGATGCTATTCACCCATCATCAGTGAAACAGATTCAGTTGTTTTTCTTCTTCCAATTTTCAGTTTAGATGTGTGATGGTTTATACAGATTCTTATGCAAACTTATCTAAGTCATATATAATAACATAGCTCAAAGGCATATAATACTATATGTTAAGCGATAATACAGACACTGATAAGCAATTTCCATAACCACATAATAGAAAAGAAACTCCAAAAAGATAAAAAACTGATTATTACTATTATTATTTTGAAGATTTTATTGGGGAATTGGGGGAGGGGAACAGTGTCGGGGAATTGGGAAGGGGAATAGCCAAGTTGTCCTTTTGTTCTTCAGTCTAGTTGTGGAGGACACTGCTTCACTGGCCCATGTTGGTATTATGATCATTGCACTCTTCCCGGCTGAGGCAGATCGGTCGCCGGCCACTGGATGGCGGCTCACGGCAGCTCTTGCCAGCTGCTGGCCGCTCACGCTGGCTGCCAGCCACTCACGGTAGCTCACGGCAGCCCACTGCAGCCCATGCGTCACCGGCCACTCACGGCAGCCCGGCTCCAGGTCAAGCTGTTGCTCACAATCTTATCTGTAGAGGGCGCAGCTTGCTGGTGCATGTAGGAATCGAACTGGCAGCCCTGCTGTTCAGAGCGCGCTCTTCTACCAACTGAGCCACTGGGCTGGCCTGAAAACTGATTATTAATGCTATCTTTTTATATTCCCTTTATATATTTTGAGATACTTTTTATTATTTCATGTTATTTTTAGATTAATTCAAAACAAACTTTGGCAAGTTCTTCTTGTGACCTGCAACATTAATAAGCAATCCAGCTTGTTTACTACACCCAAGGGCCAGTTTTCCTCATTTTCCCTTTCATTTCTCTATTAACAGAGACAGTCTCTGTGTGAATTCAGAGAATACTTTTTTAACTATGGTGTCTCCTTTACAGAAGTGGCATTTTCTTATTTCAAGACACTTACTGATTAATAAAGAAAATGGAGCAGAGGATATATTCCTATTTCAAAAAACCAGAATTCCCAAAACTTAATAATGAGTTAAGAAAACAAAGAAAAACAATAAAAAGAAATGTTCCACCATTAATAGGGTTGTTAAATACGTAGGTAAGAAACAATAACAAAATGAGCCCAGAAAGGGTAATTCATTTTTTACCAGCTAAAATAGAGTAAAATAACTACCCTGTATTCCACTAGGTTTGCTAGTAGAATAGAACATCAGTTCCATGAAGAGGAGGAGAAATAGAGACCTGACAGTCACCTGGGACAACTGACTACCACCCAAACTTGTTGTCACTGCCATCTCAAATCCTGTTTCAGTAGTAGATGGTACATAAAACTTGTAGCTTAAATACAAATTAAGAAAACTTCCTGTTGCTTCTCTTTTGCCTTTCTCCATATTTCACACATTTTTAATACGAAAGAAATAATATTGAACTTGATGCAAATAGTCCTCAATGTGTACAACAGATGTGTTTTCCAAAGCTATGTGTATCAAATATTTTTATATCAGACAAATTAACTGTTTCAAGAAACTCTGAAGAATACTTTTCTACAACAAATAACAATTGCTTCTGGTTTTTAAAGTAACATGTATCTGACCAAGGTCAAGTATGAGCTTGTAGACTACATGGAAAGTATTAATGGTAATCTTCCTAAAGCTTTCTCAGCTAATCTACTCTATATTTACACTCATCCACCAAAAGCTCAATCTGATTCACAGATCTGTTATAATCAACTAACCAATCAATATTTACTCATCTCTTAATACGTACTAGGCCACTTTTCCATGTTTAATAAATTACAGTGCGTGCGTATGTGTGCACACATGGAGGCATACCTTGGAAATACTGCTAGTTTGGTTCCAAGCAAATAAAGCGAATATTGCAATAAAGCAAGTCAACACAAATTTTCTGGTTTCCCAGGGCATATACAACTTATGTTTACATTACACTGTAGTCTATTAAGTGTTCAACAACATCACATCTAAAAATACAACATACATACCCTAATTAAAAATACTTTATTGCTAAAAAATGCTAACCATCATCTAAGCCTTCAGTGAGTCAGTAACCTTTTTGCTGGTAGAGGGTCTTGCTTAGATGTTGATGGCTGCTGACCTAATCAGGTGGTGGTTGCTGAAGGCTAGGGTGGCTGTGGCAATTTCTTAAAATAAGACAACAATGACATTTCCCACATCAACTGACTCTTCCTTTCACTAACGATTTCTGTGGCATATGATGCTGTTTGATTGCATTTTACCACAGAACTTCTTTCAAAACTGGAGTTAATCCTCTCAAACCCTGATGCTGCTTTATCAACTAAATATATATAATGTTCTAAAGTCTTTGTTGTCATTTCAACAATCTTCACAGCATCTTCACCAGGTGTAGATTCCATCTTAGAAAGCACTTTCTTTGCTCATCTGTAAGAAACAACTCCTCATCTGCTAATGTGTTATCATGAAACTGCAGCAATTCAGTCCCATCTTCAGGCTCCACTTCTACTTCTAGTTCTCTTATTCATTTTACCACATCTTCAACAGTTACTTTCTCCAGTGAAGTCCAAAACCTCTCAAAGTCATCCATGAGGATTGGAATCAACTTCTTCCAAACTCTTGTTAAATTCGATATTTTGACATTTTCCCATGAATCACAAATGTTCTTAATGGCATCTAGAATGGTGAGTCCTTCCCAGAAAGTTTTCCATCTATCCTTTGAACCAGGCACTGACTTGTCCTTCTTAGCTATGAATGTCCTAGATGGCTTCTTCTTCCAAGACATGGCTGTTTTGTCTACAATGAAAATCTGTGGTTTAATGTAGCCACCTTCATTAATTATCTGAGCTAGATCCTCTGTGTAACTTACTGCAGCTTCTCCATCAGCACATGCTATGTTATGAAGGCAGCTTCTCTCCTTAAACTTCATGAACCAGCCTCTATTAGCTTAAAATATTTCCTCTGCACCTTCCTCACCTCTCTCAACCTTCACAGAATTGAAGAGCATTAGGGCCTTGCTCTAGATGAGGCTCTGGCTTAAGAGAATGTTATAGCTTGTTTGATCTGTCTAGACAACTGAACTTTTCTTGAAATCTGTAATTAAGGCTGTCTCACTTTCTTATCATTTATGTGTTCACTACAGTAGCACTTTTAATTTCCTTCAAGAACTTTTCCTTTGCATTCACCACTTGGGTAACTGGCACAAGAGGCCCAGCTTTCAGCCTGTCTCAGCTTTTGACACACCTTCCTCACTAAGCTTAATATTTCCTAGCTTTTGATTTAAAGTGAGACATGTGACTCTTCCATTCACTTGAACACTTAGAGGTCATAAGGTTATTAATTGGCCTAATTTCATATTATTGTGTCTCAGGGAATAGGGAGGCTCAAGGAGAGGGAGGGAGATGAGGGAATGGTCAGTGGAAGAATCAGAACACACACAATACTTACCAATTAAGTGTGCTTTCTTATATGGGCACCATCGTGGAGCCCCAAAACTACAATAGTAACATCAAAGATCACTGATCACAGATCACCATAACAAATATAATAATCATGAAAATTTTGAAATGTTGTGAGAATTACCAAAATGTGACAGAGACATGAAGTGAACAAATGCTATTGGAAAAATGGTGCCAATAGAGTTGCTCAATGCAGGGTTGCCACAACCTTCCAATTTGTAAAAATTGCAATATCTGTGAAGTGCAATAAAGCGTAGCACAATTACACAAAGTTGCCTCTACTTATTTCATATCAGTCTTTGTCTTCATAAAAAAAAAAAAAATTAAACTAAAGTGGAATGCTTTCTGGATTCCTGAGGCAATATGAGGGAGTAGATTCCATTTTTTAAAAAGTTAATTAAATGACAGGATGAGTTTAATAATACTTTCAACTTTGAAGAGATTGGTTTCTCATGATGACGCTTACTCTTATAACAGACTGGGTCAGAGGAAGAAATTTAAATTTCCCCAAAATATTCTTCTTTATAATACTTCAAGTCATTTTTAGCACAAAATCCAATTCCAACCTTTGAGATCCTACAGTACAATGGGAAACATATTAAGAGTAATCTGAGGATATTATAAACAGTAGAAAAAGAGCTTCTATTACAATTTTTTACTGTTTTCCTATATCTTTCATCTTGCTACTTAAGCATTCACAGACATTGAATGCTGAGCTTGTGAGAATAGTGTGAGTAAAAGACTTACCCATTCCTCCACTAGGAGAAGGAAGAGGGAAAAAGAGAAATCTGACTAATTACTAGTCATATGTAACTTGATACCTCCTTTATAAGTTAATCTTACCTTGAGATTGTTTACTATTGAGCAGTGAAATGTCTATACTGGCATAAGCAAATACCAAGGAAATGTCAAGTTCGGTGAATAAACCTTAATGTTCAACTTTAACCACAAATGCTTTAACACTCCAGCAATATAATCAACAGTAGCCACAAAACAATGTGAAGAAAATCAACCTATGGAAGCATTACTGACCAGATGCCATATTCGAGTTGCCCTGAGATTTCAGTTGTGAAGTAGGCAGAACACTCTGGGGTGTGTTGGTTCTGCTGTCATCCAAGCCCAGAGACAAGTCCTTTCTGGGGGCTTTAATTGTGGAAACATCATCAGTCATGCCCATCTGCTTCTGTCTCCTTCGCTTTTTACTCCATAACTCATGACAATCTTGCCATAAGGGAAGACTGGAAAAAAAAATTAAATTGTTCATCAGTAGCATTTCTTAACAAAATGCTAGTATTTTTAACAACAAAGGTGCTGCCTCCCCCATCACCCCCAAGTTGTTCTTGAAGACTTCATACATAGGCTTTGCAAACTCTTCCACTAAAAATCAGCCTTGATGCCCCACCTCCTTTCAGGACTTCGCCTTTATATACAAAGATTATTCTGTGGCTTCTGAATAATCAATAAATAATAATGTATTAAAACTATAAATGAAGAATATATAGTCATAAACATAGGTTACTATTATCCTTGGTGTAATCTTTTAAAGCCAATTCTTATATTAAATCATACACTGAATATGTCACAAAAAAAAAAAGCAAAAAGTATGCCATTTGCAGAAAGTACACACAGGATTAAAAAGGAGTAAAGCCTAGGACATAACGTTTGTGAAAAACTTCCTCGTAAGAGCTTTTAATTTTTTAATACCCTCGTATTTGCTTCTATTGGGTTGTTGGAAAAGTCATGATACATTTTTGCAACAAAAAACATAGAAAAAAATAAGTCATGACTTTTCCGATAACCCAATATAAGCAAATGTTGCAGAACTGATGCTACAGAGGAGTTTCAAAAATAGGTAATCCAGGCTCATTACTCATCAACAAAGAGTTCTGAATAACTAGCAACTATCAGCATTATCCACAGTTCTGAAACAATTCTACCTGAATGTAATTTCACAAATCTGACAACACTGCAAAATAACTTTTGCTGAAATAAAGACATAAATATTTGATTGATAGATGTTTTCTTCTTCCCCTAACAACCCAATGGGAAGCTACTGTTTTATCTATTTAAAGATGAGAAAATTGAGGCTTGGAAAGGTTAATAAACTTGCCCAGAATAACTACAAATTCCTTTAAGCAGCCCCAACCTGGTGATACATATCTGCAGTCTTCAACCTGTATGTTTTCTTCTAGGGATGCATGAAGACTTTCTAAGGAGGTATATCTGGAATTGTTTTTAATAATATTTCCATATCCATAAGTCCTCTTTCCTAAAATTGATCTTTGAGAATGGCCTGCACATTCAGCAAATTCTTTCATACCTCCTCTTTCACAATTACTCTTATCTAATGTTACAAAATAAAGGCATATGCAACAATATGGTTAAATCTTAGCAATGTAATATATTAAGTAAAAAAAAAAAAAAAAGTCATTCCCAAAAGATTACAAACAGCATGACACTCTTTTATAAAACCAAAAACAACTAAAATTTTAAAATATAACTTTTTATGAGTACATATAGATGGCAACGAAAGTATATATATACAAAGGAGAACAGGAATGACAATTACCTCAGGTGGAGGAAGGCAAGGGGATAGGTTGTAGGGGGGAGGGAGACGGTATGATATGATTAAAGTAGGTTATTGTCAAGATTCTAGCTTTAATTTGGTAGGCTCATGGCTGCTTATCAACATCATTTAAAATGACTAATTAAATTAAGTAACTAAAAGAAAAAAAGAGAGCCATGCATGGACCAATGATGAGTGACACAAGGATTATGATTAAACCAAGTCTATGCACCTGAGGTCCAAAAACAAAACAAAGGCATACCTCTCAGCCATCTTACTATGGTGCATTGCCTCAGCGTGTAAAAACCTCCTGGAGTAACAAACAAAGGGACAATTTGAAATATTGATATTGGGAAGCTACAAGGCATCATAATCCCGCCAAAGACTTTCTTTCTCTCCCTCTCCCACTCCCTCTCCCTCCCTTCCCTCTTTCCCTCTCTCTCTCTTTCTCTCTCTGTGCATTACAAGATGTGTGGCCTGAGACTCTGCTGGGATATTCTGAACTCAGATGTACTGCAATAATGCAGTAACTGGACTGATTTCACTTCCTTCAGCCTGATGTTCATGGAACGCATTGCTACTGCAAGGGAGTCCCATGAGAGTAAAGCAAAGAAAGCCACTAAAAAGGGCTTTTTCTCCCTCCCATAATTTAAAGGTAAGGTTCTTTCTGGATGATCTCAACAGTCATCTCTAGGAAAGATACACATTACCCAACAAATAGCTCTAACAGTATACAGATTTAGAGATGCTGACTCACAGATATAAGTACCAGGAATGTTTTCTAGAATAACCAAATTATTATGTACATTTCTGAAGGTTCAAATACTGGCTCAGCCACTAACTTATTTTATCTTATTAGGCAAGTAATGACCTCTGTGCCTCAGTTTCCTTATCTTTAAAATTGGGATTAATAACACAGTCCACCTTATGGGGTAGGGGTCATATATGTTAACATATATAAGTGCTCAGACAGTGCCTCTCACATAGGAGATGCTATGTTCATGTTTGAGACCATTCATCATCATTCAGTAAGGTAGCTTAAAACTATTTTTATCAAGTCACACCATGAAATATTTATTCTAATTACAGTTTATTATATTTTATCTTATGAACTGTTTAATGCTTTACACTTGCTATTAAGAAAAAATAAAATTATAGGCTAGCTGCCATTCTAATTCACTTTTTAGCAATATATACTTTTTCTCTTTCCATTAAATACATCATAAAAGTTTGACAGGACATCCAATTAATAGAGTTTTGTCTTTTTTTTAATGACCCGCTCTCATTTGATTATTCCTAAAAAAACTGATCAGCGGAGTTTAGTACATATACATAGTTCCCAAAGGAATACCAAGGTCTTTTTTCATAGTCCTTACCTTAAATAACTTACAATTTTAAGTATATATTACATATTACAAAATACTGAGAGGTTATATTCTTTATATAACTTTTTATCTAAATATTAGCTCGATATCATTATAATTACGACCTGATTGCCTTAGTGATGTATCCAATCATTTATTATTCGTTTACAGATTTTTCACCAAGATGTTTATTTTTAATGGAAAAAATGCAGTCAGGTATGTTCTGATAAATACTGAGTGAATTTAGGTGATGTATTTGACAATATGAACAGCGTTAATATTGGTTATATAGCAGGCATTTTTCATAGATTGAATGAGATATATCTATAGCTTCAAGATTTTGACAAAAACATATTTTAAAAATGTAATAAGAAACACAATTTAATAAACTGGCAAAGTAGCACTGAAATTACATGCTGACTTTCTAATCTTTTTTTAAGTATACTGGATTAAACATGTCCTAACAAAAGAAAAAATAACAAGTTTAAGAAGTCATTTAATAAGTATTGGTAAAGCTTCTTTGGTTTATTTTCCCAAAATTTGAAAAACTAAATGATTAAAGACTAGACAAGATATCTTTTGGCAGTCATGTGGTTTCCAATTTTTTACTGTCAAAATAAATTAAAGGAGGAAAAAACCTTAAACGTCATTAAAAGATGACCTTTATTATTTTAAAGGTCATCAAAATAATTTTTGATGACAGATCACTATGTGATTTTTGGGACATAATATGGAAGGAGTTCAAAGAACTCAGTGATATTTCTGACAAAACTCTATCCATTTTCAAATGCTTGTTTATATATATATATACATTGTTTTTTAGCTGAGCCATCCTGCCACCTGTTGGCAGCTCAGCGGCTGCTCAGGTCAGGCTGGGACTCAATCCGCTGTTACTCAGAGCTCGCACTCTTAAGAGAGCTCTTAACCAACTGAGTCACTTGACCGTCTGCAAATGCTTTGTTTATAAAGGTATTTATAATAATAAAAATAAAATTACAATTAATGTGGAACTATGTCCCATTCTAAAATAAGTACTATTAATTGACAGATATGCAAATTACATGGGGGAAAATCTCAGCACTATTTATTTCATTACATTGAATTTTCCACTAAATCTTTTTTAACTGAAATATGTACTACTAACATTTGCAATGACAATTTAAACAAGAAGAAAAAAAGCTTTATAGTAAGGACATTTTTTTAAATTGAATTTCCATTTATATACACACATTGTTTTAAGAAAGTATACTAGGGTAAATCAATAAAATACTTTTAAGCAAAAATATGTTGCATTTAAAAACTTGCAAAAGCAATGTCAGTTCAAGATGAAAAAAACAATAATGTTCAATTGTTGAAGAATTTCTTCATACATTTTCTAAGTGAATATTGCTGAATATAAAAATACTAAGATATTTTGATTCCAACGAATTTTTAAGAGTGATCTAACTGCTTGATTTAGGTGTCAACACTTATGGTACACTGAAAATTATATCTTTTGCGCTATTTAAACCATTGATTAAAAAAAGTTTAGATGTCAATTAAAAATGTGCATTGATACAGTTTTACCAGAATTCTTTCATGCGGACCAGTTAAACCAAGAGATCAATTTAGTGTTACCAATAATGGGAGAAAAACGACGTTACGTTCCTCTAGATATGATACAGAAGAAAGCACACATCACTGCCTACATAGTATTTTTGCCAAAAACAATAATAAAAGAAAAAGTTACTCTAATTCTGATTACTAGAAAGCAATTAAAACCAGAGTGTAAAAGTTTTACAAAACAGCTGGCTTGGACTTTTAAAAAATGTCAATGTCATAAAAGCCCTCTCCCAAAACTAAAGAGACATGACAACTAAATTAAATGTGTGCGCTCTGAATGAATTCTTCATCGCAGCTCCCCCAAAAACAGGCTATAAAGGAAATTATTGTGGAGAAATTTAACAATGGACTATTAAATATTGCAATGTTAAATTTCTTATGTTTTATAATGGTACTGTAGTTATATAGAATTCCTCGTTCTTATAGATACATGTGAATTATTTATAAATGAAGTGTCACTTACACAATATTCAAATAGTTCAAAAAAACAGTTTATATAGAGTGATTAAAGCAAATGTGCCCAAACATTAAAAACTGTTGATTCCAGGTGAAGGATCTATGAATGCTCATTGTATTAATTTCCTAATTTTTCTTTAAAGTAGAAAGTTTTCAAAATCAAAAGTTTTAAAAAATTTGGAAGGTTACTACAGCCAAAGTTTCAAGACTGCTGATATATACTGATAAGCAAAAAATAAGAAACCCATGAAACAATTCAACAATGAATGATTCAGGTCCCTCAATATGTCAGATGATAGATCCTTTATGCCTTTCATATAGAGCAAAAACTTCATAAAGTTGAATATGATGGTCTCATAGAATTACAGTAAACCCAATCTAAGTGGAAGAGCCAGGATTTGAACTCCGAAGCCCATGCTTGTTCATTCACAATATGATAACTGAATTACATGAAAACATTTTATTATTATTGGGGTAAGCTTGCTTTTAGGATGCTCATCATCATTTTTAAAATTACTAAGAAAATCCCTATAAAGTTTCTAGATCCTACCAAGAAGAACCAAATGGACTGCTTTGTCCCCTCCCCTTTCCCCAAATCAATCCTAGAGAAATTACAGGAGCCACAAGAGAGTGATGTTTCAAGAACTTAGCTATTTTCACTCCCCAATTTTATGCATTCCACCCCCTTCCCACACTGGACGATAAACTGATTCTATACAGGCTTTTGATACTAATATTCTTTTATTTGATGATAAAAATTTTCTATTGTATAGTTTGCCAAAAAGTATTTCAGAACTTCTCTTTCTTATTGGACTAACTTGAATTTAAGAGCTGGCTCCACCCTTTACTAGATTTGTATTCTTGGGCAAGTTTCTTAACCTCTTTGAGCCTGCTTCCTCCTTTGTAAAATGATGATGATGAAGATAATAATACCTACCTGAAAGAACTATAAAGATTAATGTAATGCATGAAAAATGTTTAGTATAGCACTGAAAATTTTAGCTATTGCAATTGGAAGTATAAGCAATTGTACTGGTATAAGTAGTTTTAGAATAATAAGCTACAGCAGTAATATTTTCCTAAGGGTTAAAATATATTAGTAAAATTAGCTAGAGGAAGGCTACTTTTGCTAGTCCTATGTGGTTAGTTGAACATTAAACAAGGTTCTGTATTCTAAATGTGCAAATTATGTGTTTTGCTGTTATTCTATTTATTTTTATTTATTCTATTTCTTTTAACTCATCATGGAATAGCTTTTGATTGTTTACATACAGATGTTATTAAAACAGTCCAGGTTCTTTACATATGGGATCTAACAATAATAAAAGGTCACTTACTCTGGGGGAGGCATTTTTGAGGGCTCCACGTCCCGCAGGAACTCACACTGAAGGGCCTGTTCTGCAGTGCAGCGCTTGCTGGGGTCCAAAGCAAGCATGTAGTCAAACAAGTCTAGAGCAGCTGCAGGAATGCTGGCGGAGAGGGTTACAGGAGTCAGACACATTCTTCACACCGTTTAATGTTTCTTCAGCAGCTGATTTCAAAGACTAGAATTTTATAACGTTTGCAATACTTTATTCCACTAAATTCCAATTTTCCTTTGAAGAAATGTTTTTACATAATTTTGTAACTATTATTCTAAATAATTTTAAATTTGGCAAACAACAGTACATTTTATTACTCTATGGGCAATTTGTAACATAAATTAAGAATTGAATAGAACAGTTTCCTACAACAAAATAAAAACCTGAGCTGAAGTAACTTGAAAGCTGTTTCAATAAAATTTAAAATATTATTAAAGTTCTTTCACACAAGCAAAGCACCAAATCAAACACACAAACCCAAACCACTGATTTCATAATGGTGGCGACATGGTAATTTGCATGTAGCAAAGGGAAAGTTAAAATTAAATAACACATAAGAATTGTGATTAGGTCTACCTTGAGCCAACAGAGGATAGAATGACATTTAGAATTCACAAGAAATAACAACAACAAAAAATCACTCAATGCAATATGGATGCTTAAGCGCCCCCTTCTTACAAAACAAATTCTTCTCTTAACTTTCGACGATATTGCTTCTTTGGTTTCATGGTGTTGAAATACGGTAGTTTGATTACATCGGGCCACACTGCAGGACATGGACTCCCACATATACGGCTAAACACACAAAAAGAAATACATCACTATAAACTACACAGAAAAAATAATACATACAACTGCTATACAAAACATCAACTCATTTTTAAATACACAAAATCTGAAGTCCTGATAGATGCATAAGTCTCATTAAATATTGTAGTCATCCCAACTTAATCACTTGTTTTAAGAAATCAATTTATGTTAGAAGTGGATACTTCTAACACTCCAAACATGCCAATGTTTACAAAATCAAATCTGAAAACACAAGTAACACTCAAAATACACTGAACATATTCTGAACCAAAATGAAAAATTTTATGCCAATAAATTAAGGAACTAGAGTTTAGTATATGTCTTTCTCTGGTTTTATAGGTACTTGTCATTACCTCTTCTCATGGATATAATAAAGTTAGCAATAATAGCAGAAACAGATATCCTACCCTCAGGAAGGTAAGTATATTGTAATGACTGCTGAATTCTATCAACGGGAGGACCTTGAAAGTAACATCCCTGAAACAAACAAGTTCTTCAAAATTATGCCACTGATTTCAAGGTAATGAAAAATTTTAACTGTTTTACTCTCTACTTATTTACATCTTAAAAGCACTCATTTGTATTAATTAGTAAGTCCTTATTATGATAATTTATAGAATGCTGTAACAAATAGGTAACTCCAGCTGGTAAACAGTTAAATACTAACTGATGTTAGTTATGCAGATAAAAAATTGGTTCAATATGCTTGAATATACTAAATCTCAAGGATAAATGTACATTGTGTATAAAATTGTCAACTGGTCTTCAAATGTAAAAAGAAATGGTCCATGTATCACTGACTAAAAGTAAAAATATTTTATACATACATATAAATGCATGCACCAATGTATATAAGCATGACAACTAAAGTTGCCAGACATTCTTTAGCTGAGCTTTAGCATGCTACCTCAGAAACACACACTCATTACATGAGACGACCTCTCATGTTTTTTAAGCTTTATGTCACTCAAATTGTGTTTTTTGTTTCAATATACAGTAATCCCCCGTCTGCAGGAGTCCATTCCAAGACCCCTAGTGGATGCCTGAAACCACGAATAGTACCCAACCATACATATGCTATATTTTTCCCTACCAACTATAAAGTTTAATTCATAAATTAGGCACAGTAAGAGATTAACAACAATAACTGATAGTCAAATAAGACAATTATAACAATATTCTGTAATAAAATTTACAGTCTTTCTCCAAGTTATCTTATTATACTGTACTCACCCTTATACATGCTGGACATGCTGGACAAAGGGATGATTCATGTCCCAGGTGGGACAATGTAAAAGTTCATCACACTACTCAGAACAGCATGCAATTTAAAACTTATGGTTTATTTCTGGAATGTTCTATTTAATATTTTCGGACCACAGTTGACTGCGGTTAACTGAAATTTAAACCTCGGATAAGGGAGGGACTACTGTAGTTTAGGATTTTTCTAAACCTGAGCTTTTTAAAAGGTATAAAGATATTATTCTTTGCACATTCCCAATTTCTTGTTTCTTACAAAGCCAATTTTCAGAACCTCATGAAAAACACAGTGGCTCTCTTAGGTAAGAAGGCCAAACTTGGGAGCATGGCTTTCTATGATCTGGTCCCAAACTGCCTTCCTAGTCTCATCTCCCAATTCATCTCTCCCCACAAGTAACCACTCCTCCATATCTATGCTCATATTCCTTCTCCATAGATTCTACCTGGCTCAATTTTCACTTCTCAAGATTTAGATCAAAAGTAATCTATTCATAGAAATTTTCAGTACCCCAATACTACCCAGAATGGTCACTCTTTGCATACCACTTGTTTCTCTTGACACTATTTCATCCTACTTTGTATTTTAGTTGTTTACATGTATGTTTTTCTTACTAAATTATAATTTGGGAATCATGTCCCTCAAACAATAGGCAGGTAGGGAATGGAGTAAGAGAAGGAAGTACACAGGCAAAGGCATGGAAGTAGCCAAGTATACACTTTTGGGAGGAAGGCTAAGGAAATCTGTATAGGTGGAATTTAGGGCTCAGGGAGGTTTAGCTGGAAGCATAGACAGAGGCCACACAATACAGTTTAAGAGGCAGTTTGCCTAAATACAGTTCACGCTTGAACAACATGGGTCTGAACTGTACAGGTCCTCCTATATGTGGATTTTTTCCAATAAATACTGTAAATGTATTTTCTTGTCCTTATGATTTTAATAACATTTTTCATTCCTCTAGCTTACGTTATTATAAGAATACAGTGTATAATACATATAACATACAAAATATGTGTTAATTGACTGTTTCTGTTGTATGTGACGCTTCTGGTCAACAGTAGGCTATTAGTAGCTAAGTTTTGGAGAGGCAAAAGTTATACTTGGATTTTCTACTGTATAGGGGATTGCTGCCCCACCCCCATGTTGTTCAAGGGCCAACTGCTTAATAAAGACAAACTCTAAAAACAAACTTTAAAACAGAATCCTGTCTGTGTGATATTGGTCAAATTGCATTGTATAAGAATCTGTTTCTTCTTTTGTAAAATGGAGATTCATTTTACTTCAAAGCCGTGAAATTAAATGAGCTCATATCTGGTACATTAAAAGTCTTATACTAAAAATCAGTTTCATCACCTCTTAGCTAAAGAGTTTAAATTATTTCATTATATGTGTTGTGACAAGACATGAGGACTAAAGTTATCTAATTGGTAGCAGCATACAGGATGGAAATAGATGTACTGAGGCAGGGAAAATTACTAGGACCTAGGGAAGCACAGCAATTGATGATAAATGCATATTAGCCAAATCTGTGCCTGATGGCCAACCATCCCAAAATCAGTTACTGAAGATGTCTTAAAATGAATATGTGAAAGCCCCAAATATTTGAGGTTTATTTTGTGAATGTATTCTGATCTATCTATTCTGCTGTCAATACCATATGGTACCTTTACACTTTTTATAAGGTTGACAGGACAAACTTCTCTGTCTACCCATTCCTCTAATTACTCTTCTCAGAATTTCCTTGCAGATGAAATGTAGAATAAATACTGCCACACTCCAAAAGTAGGAAATTCCTCCTGGGATTCAACTGCTGCTCTGAATTGAAAGATTAATTTAGAAAGGATTATTACAATATCTTTACAAAACTTAATATTTATATCCCTGAAATATTCAACTTGCAGATTTCCTTCATTTTTATATACATTGCTTCAATTAGATCTTTATATTTTTTATGGGTTTTACCTTTTGCTTTTTCTAAACAATGTTAGAATGATAATGATATGACACAGTATTGGATAATTTTTATTTATTTCTGATTTTAATGGGAGTACTTTCATTGTTTATCACCGAGAAAGATGATGACTTTGGTTTGAAAAGCACAAAACATAAAGATATTTACAGACACCAATTCACACATACGTTCTGTGAAGGAGACATTCATTTATTCCTTTTTACTAGCGGTTTTATTTTTGTGGCTTTCAAATTTTTGAAAGATACTTTAGTTTTATCAGTTTGATTTTTAGAAACCCTGTTATAATCATTATCTGCATCTTCTTCCCTGGGTCACTAATGTAGTGAATTGTATTAAGAAATTTCCTAATACTTATTCATCCTTACATTCAAATGAGGAATCCACCCAGGTCCTGGTAAAAGTACTATTATTTAGTATAATGCTGTTGTTTTGCATCAATACTCATATGTGAGACTGGTATACAGTAGTTCTCACAAATGGTCCAAAAAGGCCCTTGGGTAACCCCAAGACCCTTCAAGGATCTGGAAATTTAAAGGTATTACAGAGACATTATTTGCCTTTTTCAATGTGCTGACTTTGCACTCATGGTACAAAGCCAATGTGGGCACAACCACCAGCACCTTCACATAATTCGAGGCAGTGGCACCAAACCATTAGCAGTTAAATTCTCATCACAACCACACAACCTCAGGGCAGGGAAGAAGGCAGTTTCACCTAAGAACGTACCTACTAAAGCAGTCAAAATTATGCATGCTTTTAAACCCTAATGCCTGAGTATACATTTTTTTAGTATTTTCAGTGCTGAAGTATAAAATACTCAATAAAGCACTTCTGCTGCACAACAAAGTCTGACAGCTACCTTGAGAAGCACCTGTGCAATTATTTGAGTTGCAAGCTGAAGTAGCTGCTTTATTCATGGACCACCATTTTTACCGGCAAGAACAACTAACAAACTATGGTCATCCAGACCCGGGCATCTATCACACATTTTCTCAAATATGAACAAATATGTTACTCCAAGGGAGACAACTGCAGTATTTACTGTCAATTACACAATTCGAGCATTCAGGAGAAAATCAGAATACTAGAAAACTTATTATCTATACCGTGAAATTGACAGCTTCATAACAGATACCTAAAGGCTTTTCTGATGAGTGGTGATAACAAAAATATGATGAAATGTTATATTTGGAAGATCTGCTCAATTCAGTGATACAGTATTTTCCAAATGTTCAATACATAATGTTACAAAATCATCATAGTTGTAAAATACCCATTCAGAGTGCAAGAGAGACCAGTGGATTTCAGTAGAGTACAAAATATTCTTTCATGTGGTTTCAGACTGCACATTATAACTAACCTATAGGAAATTCCATTTATTTAGTGCAGTTTCAAAAACAATATGCACAATTATCTGAAAAGACTATGAGAACAGCAAGCATACCCAACATATGAGGATCCCAGATGTATTTATCAAGCCAGACATTAAAAGATTTGTAAAAACATACAATACTACTACTCACCAACAATTATTTCTATTTGGAAAATATTGACTTTTTACAATTAAAGACGTTATTTTTAACATTTTAAAATGAATTAATATTTTAAATTTGTTTTAATTTCTAATGTGGTAAATATCAATAAAGACAACTAACATAAACAAAAGCTCCTGAGATCTTTCATAATTTTTAAGAGTATAAAGAAGTACTGAGACCAAGACTATTAAGAAGCACAAGTCTACAAAAAAAACCAAAAAAAAGCACAAGTCTACAGAATTTTGTCCACTATTGATTTATGAAGGTGTAAATGCTTCATTTTTTAAAATATAGGAACTTTCCTTCTTTTCCTATATTCTGGAACAACCAAAGCCGATGTTTTTAAAATTTCACGTGTGTGACCATCTAGGCTGAGGCTTTTGGGAAGACAGTGAGGTGACAGAGAATATGGGGAGTAGGGGAAGGCTGGATAGAAAGAAGGATTCTTTTTATTCCAATCTACTTTAAATTTCCTCCATGATTATAAGTGTCTTTATTTCATAAGGAAGGCTTATAGTTAAAAATGATGACTCTTGTATAAAATTACTTTTGCCCTCATTCATCCAATTTTGTCCTCACCTTTAATTTTCACTCTCTTTAGACATCACTTTTTAATCTATGCTACTTCTATACCAAAACTTTTGTACTCTGCCTAAGATACTTCCTGGAACAAGGCAAAATACAAATAACTTGATCAGTGTAGCAATATAAAGCTCTTTAAGGCAGATTCTGATTAGTATTCCCACCCTTGATCAGTTTACACATAATTGTACAATACAAACTCTAGACCTCATCATTCCTAAGACTTTAGATGGGAGAAGTATCTCAGCATTACTGCAAATAAGATGAGGAGGAGAAGTGTGTATTAGGAAACTTACATTTATTTAATTCTTACAGCCCTAAACATACTATTAAGTCTTGTTTTACTTGTGCAAAAACAAACTTAGAACATTTTGTAACTTACCCTAAGTCACAAGAGCAGGAAGCAGATGAGCAGTTATTAGAACCGAGCTCTGTGAGATTCCAACGCCCACCCCTTTCAATATACTCTGCTGTCTCCTTCAAATCAGGGAGACTTGTTTCTTTCACCAGAAACCTCCTTTATTTCTCATGTTTTCAAAATAATTAATGCTACAGAATCAAAGTTGAACCATCTTTTTCTGTTTTAATAAATATGTGCTATCTTACCAACACAAAAACCTTCTGAAATATATAATCCTCCCCAGGCCTCTCACACGTCCATGTTGAGATGAACAATTCCAGACTCTAGAGGTGTTCTATTTGATTTACTTAAATGGGATCAAATCAAACATAGCCTTCTGGAAAACTGCTCTTATAACTATGTTGCTTTTTTTCCATGTCAGTATCTCCAGAGCTACCATTTCCTTTTTAATAACTGTACAGTACACCACTAAGTAGATGTGCTGAGCTTGCTTTCTTTTGCCATTATGGTTCACTTACTGACTTGACATGCTCATAAAACAACTCAAATACATTCGTGCCTCAGGATTTTCATTACTTTGCTGTTCCCTCACTTCTTTCAGATCTCTGTTCAAATGATATTTTGTGGGACAGACATTCCTTGACTCTATCTACAACACTACCTCCTAATGTTCTCTATCTCCTTACACTTATAACCACCCGATATATTTTATTAATTTGTTTGTTTTGTCTGTCTCCCCCAACTAGAAAGTAGAAAAAGTTGTGTGCCAGTTACCAGGCACTGAGAATACCACCTTGACCTTCCGTTGTATCCTGAGAACCTAGTAACTGGCACACAACGAGCAATCAATAAATGCCGTTCAATTAATCCTGCTGACTTGAAATGTCTTCTGTATTATATTCTAAAACCCATAAAAACTTGCTTTATTTCTGGACTTCCCATATAATTCCACTGGTTTATCTATGTATCTTGTGCCAGTACAAAATGGTTTTAGTTACTATAACTTTGTTTTAACATATGCCAAAATCTTTCTTTTTAAGGTTTTCCTCATTATTTTCATGTTTATTCCCACCCAATGAACATTAAAATCAATCATCATTTCAAAAAGTATTGAAATTCTCATTAGAACTACAATGATATAGGATGACATTTAAAAACAATTAAGGCTTCTTAGATAAAAAACAAGATATGCCTCGCCAATAGTTATTCAAATCTCCTTTACAATTTTAAGTGGGACATTACAGTTTTCAATATTCCTGGGGTATATATGGTAGTAGTGTTTAAAAAAAGCATCTTTCTCACCCACTGTGTTTGTAACTGGTTGTTACTTTATATTTTATTAAAGCTATTGCTTTTATATACGTGTATTTGTGTGTGTGTGTGTATATACATATAAATATTTCAGCATATTTTGTGTGTGCACACACACACAATTTTAACACGTGTCATTTTACCAAACTTTTATTTAAGATGTTTCAAGTGATTCCCTTGTATGTTGCACGCATGCATATATGCAATGTTATCATATGTAAATTATGACAATGCCCTTCTTCTTTCCACTAATTCTCTCTTATTGGATCCCTTTTCTAACCCTATTGGGTAACTGGTTAGTACTTCTAAAATACTCTTAAATAACGATTCAAGAAGACAACTTTTTCTCATTCTTGTCTTTATTTCTAGTAATTTACCAATAATTATTCAGGCTGTTAGCTTGTGATACATATTGTTATCATGTTAAAGAAATATCCCTCTACACTTCCTTAGTTAGCAGTTTATATTTCTAGCAAATGCCTATTGAACACCTACTAAGACAAACATATTGGTTGTCAGAAAAGTCATGATGCATTTTTGCAACAAAAAACAGAAAAAATATGTCATGACTTTTCCGACAACCCAATATTATTTTATTTCTATTAAAATGATGAATTACAAAAATAGACTTCCTAAACTGAAACATCCTTGTATTCTTGGGATAAAATTTACTTGACTCTGCAAGTTAATTTTCTAACGAAAAGCTGGACACTATTGGCTAATCTCCTTTAGAATTTCTGGACTAATATTCTGCAGAAATGTTTCATATTGTCTTTGTAAATTTGGTGTTTGTGTCATATTGATTTTGTAAAAAGTTCCAGAAAATTTTATTTCCTAGTACTGAGAACTCGTTAAAATCTTAGGTACTAAGGTACAACTGTCTACATTTAAATTTCAATTTTACTACCTTCATAGTTGTTTGACCCTGGATAAATTCTTTACCTCTGTAAGGTTCAGTTTTCTTAACTTTAAAAAGAAGACATAGAGTTATTATGAAGCTTAACTGGGGCCAATTCAGGTGAAAGTCTTAGAACAATGCTTGCATCATATATAGACCAAATAAATGTTAACATTAATAGATGCTCTGGTTTCTAATACAATCAGGACAAATGGTTAACTGAAAAAATGGGTTAAAGGAAGTCACTTAAAAAAAAAGTACACAGATACATAATTCAAGTATTTTATTTTAACTGAAAATTTATAAATGTACATTTATTCTTCAATCTTCTGACATACAGCAAGGCCTTCTCTTTGAAAAGAGGAGTCACTGGATAGGATTCTGCATTAGCTTTCTTACACGAACCATACCCATAACATATCACCAAGGATTTAAAGTATAAAGTCCTCTAAATTTTTATGACTTTTCTAACTTATAGTTACGTGCCCATCCCTAATTAATTTGACAGCATCTTTGTTGTCTTTGTAAAGCACTGCATCTATGTTTAATTAATGACAAACATACAATAAAAAGTTGGTATAAAAAACTGGAAAAAATTACCTCTTGGTCATCATACTCTTCAACTAGTGGGATAAATACATAGTCTTACTAAGAGTGGTAGCCTACTAATATTCTGCAAGCTGCAAATATTCAGCTTACCATGTTATTAAGCTAGTATTATTTACAGAGGAATGGAAAGCATCTATTAATACAGTAAGTCTGTTGAAGAGAAAATTCATAGTATATATTGGTTATCTGTGCCACATATCAATATCTTTTCTAAAAGTTTTCATCCAATTTTGAAACAGTCATGCAAATCTTACAAGTTGCAAATTAACGTTATTACATATGAAACCCTAAGCTTTTTTAAAAAAACGAAATTTGTTTTAAAATAGTAGATGAAGAGAAAGGTGACTTATAAACTAGGTCCTACAATGGGCTCCAAATAATGAAGACCTATCCTTGTGGATATATGCATATATTTTGCTGTGTATACACATAGACAGATACACATAAATATGTATGCATAGATGTATATAAAAGTTATTTCTTTACAATATCCCAAAACATTAATTCTTCCTTACTGTCATACTTAAAAAAAAAATTATCTTCCATTCATTCTCTCTCATATTCACTGTTTCTTTCCAGTCTTATCTTTTCAGCCTCAAGCCTTTTAATTTAATCACAAAAGGACTGAAGAGCTTTAAGATCCTTAATTTTACTAAGTCAAGTATCAATGTGCCTCCACTCCAGTTTTTCCTCCATTCAGCAATCATTAGCCTTCAAGAGAACCACGCTGTTCTCTTCCTGAAAACAGTCTGAAAGATTTAAAATTTCCTATAGAGAATAAAAATATCCACCCAGCAAATATTACAATCATGAGCTTACCTTATTAATTCTAGTTGTGCAAGTTCCTGATTTGCTTGAAATATAGGTTTTTTAGTGAAGAGTTCACCAAGGATACATCTAATGAAAAAAAAATACCCACCATTACCAAAGGATATAATTTTACTTTACTAACAAAAGTTTCAAGTAAATTAAACCAGTCAAAAAACCTATCTTACCCACAGCTCCATACATCAATAGCTGGTGTATATCGTTCTTCTCCCAATAGCAATTCAGGTGGACGGTACCATAAAGTGATGACCTTGTTAGTATACGGCCGACTAAAAAAAACAAAAGCAATACAGTTAGGGGCCGGGCAAGTGGCGCGATGGTTAAGATCTGGCTTGGGACGCCAGAGGGCCCCGGTTCAGATCCCACATATGAGGGCCAGTGACACTGCCCTCCACAACTAAGATGCTGAACAACAGCTCAACCTGGAGCTGGGCTGTTCGCCAGCGATGGCATAGGCTACAGACCCTGTGGCAGTGGGTTGCCATGGGCTACCGTGTGTAGCCAGCAGCCAGCGTGAGCAGCCAGCAGCCGCAGTGAGCGGCCGTCCAGGAGCCGGCGACTGATCTGCCTCGCCCAGGAAGAGCGCAATGATGGTGCCAACCTGGGCCAGTGAAGCAACGTCCTCCACAATTAGACTGAAGAACAAAACAACAGCAACTTGTCTGTTTCCCCTTCCCCCAATTCCCCAGCACTGTTCCCATCCCCCCAATTCCCCAATTTAAAAAAAAATCTTTAAAAAAAAAAAGCAATACAGTTAGTATCTGTTAGAATAAGAGATTCTCTTAGGAAACATTATTTTGACTAATCAAAGCACTTCTCCAATCCTAACTAAAACCACTTTCATATGCCTACCAAATACAGATATGCTATGATATCTAATATATGATAAAATAAATCTGAAAGCAACGTGATTTACTGTAAAATTCCCTTAATATGCTATTAAAAAAGTAGTTGGCTAGTTTTAACTGTAATTTGGTCAAAGAAAGGTCTTTTTAAAACTCAACTGTTCAGCACTGCTTCTACCTTCCATAATAACTTTGAAATGGATTTAAAGGGAGTTGATTTTTGACCAAATCTGGCAAATTACTAATGTGTAGCAAGATATATAGTTCAAGCTAGAACCACCTAACGAAAGTTTTCAACTGGGCATACCTTTTGCAATCTGATTTCAACCCATTTAATATGTGAATACTAAGTGCAGAAATGTAGATTGTAGTAGTTGAAGTCCATGCTGCAAAGAACCACTAATAATAGGTATGTTACTTTATCAGATGTTTCCTTTGTCACCGTCTAGCAGAGAGAACCTATACACATGGTGACCTTTTTATTTATCATAGAAGAGACTATCTAGGGAGTTGTATTAGGGACAAGGTTGACCATCACAGTACAAATTCTCTGGCACAGTGTTTTCAATCTTCAGACAATGATCATGTTCTAGCTGATTCACTAAGAAGTGAGAGGTGGTTCTTCAATGGATCTGTGGTTAGTATACATACTTCAGGGTGATGACTTATGTCTTTAAATTCTCAACCTCTCTTTCTGGATATCGTCCAAATCACATGGATGCAAAGGCCATGTCATAGGAAATTTGCCAGGAAGGCTGTATTCCAAGCCATTCACTTATCTTGGCTTAGATCTGGACCAGTTTGGGGAAGGAGGAAAAGGAGCATATAATTTATAAAGCAACTTCCTCTTGCCAACTATAGGTCTGAAGTTCCAGTAGCGTAAGAGCTCAGCAGCCTACTCTAATTAAGCTGGACTTAATCACCTTTTAAAAATATGTTCACCTCTTTCAAAAAAAAAAAAAAGTTCACCATTTTATGCCTCAACTCCTTTTAAATGTGAAATTCCTTATTTTTTTATTCAAATTCTATATATACCTCCTTCTAGATATAGTGAAAGACCCATCTCCATAAAGTATAATCTCTGTTTACAATAGATTTATTTGCACGTTCTTAAATTTATATTATACTTACCACTGTACCACTTTATTTTATATTTTCTATCTTCCCAGAAAATCGAAAGAGCCCAGAGACCGCTCTTTATTATGAACCCCACACACAAAGCCCAGATCATTGCTGGGCATTGGGCAGATGCCTTAATGTGTGTGGCCCTGCAACCTGAAGTGGCACACATGAATTAACTAGCTCAGTGAGAGGACAAAGTTTGTGAAATTAATGATGACTGATTTTATAAAATATTTCAAGGATCTATAAGCATATGAAACCTAAGATCTTGTTACTAAAGTACAACTAGGTATCTACAGTTTCAAGAAAATGTTTAAATTAATATAAATCTGTAAATAGTTAATTTTGCAATCTTTTTATGTTTAAAAAGGTTTTTAAATATATTTTTTAAAAAGCATGTTGAATTATGTGGAGAAATTACACAAATTAAGGTTACTAAATTCTACTGAAAAATGAATATTTCAATAAGATTAATTTACATACTATATATCAAGTTTCAGGCAACATTTAGAATACAGTCATCTCTAGCAGTTAAAACTAGACTAATTTTTTTAACTCTTATCAAGTTAATAGCTTTTTAAAATATTTCCAAATGCTTATTTTCTGTCAAAAGAAAAATAAGGACTAGGTAAAGGCTGAGAAATAATTTCAATAAAACAAAGTACCATCCTGACATTTTTCTTAACGTTCACAGAAATATCAATAGAGATCAGAGACTTTCTATCTGTTCAGTGACAGATTCCAACACCTTGCCCCTAGACATCCCAGAAGATTTGGGCAATAAGGGGAGGTGAAATATGGCTATGGCTTTTCCTACCTTAGGGCCTGACAAGCAGCACTGTATCCCCCCAAAAACCAAGCACTGCCTTACTGGTATGTCCCCAAGATGGCAGATGACTCAGCCTCCTATCTGGTCAAGATAGATAAAATGCAGAGCAGATGCTCAGAGTGAGATCCTAGGCCCCTGAAGTATTTTGGGGTTCTGGATAATTCCAGTTAAAATTTACAAACTAGAATCATATAGAAGGATAACACCTAAATAGGTTCATTGTCTACCTTTTTTCATCAGATGTAAATGAGACAACAGACTTGGTCTTTCATAGTTGTATCTCTAATACCTAAACAACAGGTATTACCTAGGTCAGTGTTTAGCATAGAGTAAGCACTTAATATTTTTAATTGACTGACTTAACATCATAACTACAATCTTTGTTCTTATGTCCATTCTCTCTTCCTTCCTAGTTTCACTCCTACTTTCCTCCTTTTGATATTTCCAAGAAAAATAACTTTTAAATTTCTATATCATAACATTGTTACACAGACAAAAAAGTAATTTTTTTCAATTGATGTCATCTTACAATCACTTGTCTGTTCTTATTACACATGCAAACTTAGAAGTCCTTTACGTACTTTTATCTTAACACATCTAAAAGGAAATTATCTTTTGGTGCAAACCTCCTTCCTGTCTCCACAAACAGCATTACTGTTTATGGCAGAGATTGTTAGGTATCTTCTAACGTCTGTTCTTCCTTTCTTCGATGGTAGTTGCCCACCTACACTACATTTCCCACCTTCACTGCAGTTAGGTGTGGTCACATGATCAAATTCTCACAACAGAACATGAACATATGTGATAGGCGCCATTTCTTGTCTGGCTCATAACAATCCCTCTTTTCTAGCGTCTGGCTGACAGAGATGGTGACAGCCTTGGAAGGCATGTGAAGATGGCAATCTTCCCACCTGGATCTCTGAATGACTCTATGAAGCAGAATCACCACTTGATCTAATGATATGGTTAAATATTCTTAATTATACACCAAGGTAAACAAAAAACACTCCAAATTATGAAGTGAGAAATATATATAAACTTCTTATTCTTTAAGCTACTAAATGTTGAGGTTCTCTTTGTTACAGCAGTTTACCTTATCCAAACTAATAAACCATTTATCCAGTTGCTTAAACAGAAATCTTATAGTAGGAATGGAGGCTAATAACATGTATTCAACGATGAAGTTCTAACAATTCTACATCGTATGATATAATTCATCTCCATCTTCCCAACACCTAAGCCCATTCCCAAGTTCTAGCCATAATCATACTCTAGGGTTGACTGCAACCATCTTCTGATTGCTCTTGCTCCCAGACTTAACAAGATCAATCCATTTTCTGAAGTGTAGTCCAAGTGATAATATAAAATAAAATGTCAATGTGTTACACTTTTAATACACACTGTTGCCTTCTAGAGAATATCCATAAAAGGCCTACAGAATTCTTTATTACTTGGTTCTTGCTCCAATTACACTGAATCAGGGGTTCCTTGAGAAGAATGAGCAAATGCTCATTTTCAAGAGCAAGGAGATAAAAGCCAGGGAGACAGCAGAGCTTGCAAGAAAACTTTCAAGAAGATAGTGGTGCTATCATTATGCTTTAAATATTTTTAATAAACAATTTAAATAAGGTTTTAATAAGCTAGTTTTTAATAAACTTTTAGAAGTTAACATTGACATAGACAATGAAAATGATTTGTTCAAGTCAAGAAAAAAACTTTTGGTGATTTATTCCAAAATTTTGCGAAATAAGTGCCATACTTCACTTTCCACCTAAGTGTTTAATGAGAAGTAAGTGTCAAGAAAGTATGCAGACAAAAGGCCTTTAATCATAAGAGCAAATTCCAAGGTAGGTAGAATTAGTGAAGACTAAGGCCAGTTTCAAATCACCCAATTAATAACCGTTTACAGCATTATCAAGAAAACATTCCATGTTATGATTAGGATGCTGTGTTTACAAACCTAAGAACAAAAGAAAAAGGCAGCTTTTTATGAGGACATTTAAATCTCAGAAAATTAAAGTACTGTTGTAATATGAAAATACACCATCCAAAGTTTAACATATAAATGAAAATCCAGAACCCCCAGAAATGAACATTTCAAACTTGGTCTGCCAGGCTTGGCTACCCATTGCCAACATTCTAAAGATGGCCCTATTTAGATCACAAAGAGAAAACGCAAACCGATGTGACACCTCACACACGATGCTTTATTTTTTCTCTTATGGATTAAAAAACAAAATTACATTCTTGAGAGATGGATACCCAGGCTGTTCACAAAAAGCAAATTCACTCCTATTGAAAAAGAAACAGGACTGAAAAACATATGGTCAGATTCTTAGGTTACAGAATAAATTAATACACTTTAAAAAGGGAAATCTATATAGTACAACTATATAGCAGAATGTTATACAGCTGGGGGGGGGGAAACAAAAAATAGAAAATGAACGACTCCAATTTATTCCCATAATTAAAG